TTTCCACGTAAAAATCCTCGGCCTTATTTACATACAGCTTTACTAGCATTTACAGCAGAACCCAACAAAGGACCAGGTACTCTGCTATTTGGTGGGCTCACACAAACTTATCACCTTACCAAATTGATAAATAACCAGATCCCTATATAGTTTGGTTAATTAGTATTTTCAGAGGAAATGNTGTGTGGGATTTTTCCACGTAAAAATCCTCGGCCTTATTTACATACAGCTTTACTAGCATTTACAGCAGAACCCAACAAAGGACCAGGTACTCTGCTATTTGGTGGGCTCACACAAACTTATCACCTTACCAAATTGATAAATAACCAGATCCCTATATAGTTTGGTTAATTAGTATTTTCAGAGGAAATGCATAGAGAACCCGGTTCTCTATACAGTCTGGTGGACGCACAGTCTCTAACAAGTGGTATCAGAGCAGGTTCTTCCTATTAGGCTAACACCTAGGAAGGATCCTCATGGCTGCTCCACCAACTTTTGAAAAGAGAGAAGCAAAGAAGAAAAAGTACCTGACACTTAAAGCTACTAAAAATGATTCGAGTAAGGAAAACAGTTACATGGCTTACTTAATTAAAAAGTTTCAGAAGATGGTCAGAAAAAATGGAGAAGTGATAAAAAGGGACAGCTCTAACAGATCAAAGAACAATGATCTTTGTTACAAGTGCGGAAAGGCTGGACACTTCATGAAAAATTGTCCTATCTTGAAGGAAGAATTCTCCAAGAACTTCAAGAGAAAAAGTTCGGCTGAATATGACTCAACTTTTGCTTTATTGGCTCGATCAGATGATGATGAAGACAATCACAACAAAGAGGTAATTTTCAGGGATGTTCAGAGAAATCTAAAATCCTATTCTTCAAGAAAACTCATGTCTTTAGCTAATGTATTAATCAATGCATTTCATAGTCTTGTGGAGAATAGGGATTCTTTGACCTTAGAATTAGTAAAATATAAACAAACTAGAGACGACTTAGTGGCTGTAGTTACTGGCCATAAGAAAACCATTGAATTTATTAGAAAAGAAAAGAATGATATTTTGGCAGAAATTACAGACCTAAGGGAAACAATAGTGAAACCCTGGACTAAGTTAAAACCTGAAAAATCTTGAAAAGGAAAGGAGATAGCCAGTGAGGAACACATTAGGCTTGAAAAGGAGTTGAAAGCTACTAGAACTAGGATATGTGGTGAACTCGAGAAAAATAGGTAGCTTCAAGCTGAATTGAAGAGAGTAAATAGGGATCTTGAGAAATCTCTCAAGTGGACCTGCTCCTCAGATGCTATCACTACCATGTACTTCAACAATAGTAGAAACAGGCAGGGAATCGGGTTCCAAAAGGAGAAAACTCCTTACAACCCTCACATCAAGTACGCCACAGTTTTTGATAACTAGCTGTGTACCCACTGTGGGAACAATGGGCACTTCAAAGAAAATTGCCAGGCCAAGGCTCAATATGTTCAGAAAAACAAAGTGTTTGCTGACAAATTGACTGCTAACAGGGGACCAGGTACCGCTCACAAGAAACCATGTTGCATGCATGGACTAGAAAAGCCCTTATCCATCCCTTTCATCATAACAAGGGATCCAAACTAGTTTGAGTTCCTAAATCTAACCCATAATTTAGATGTGCAGGGAACAGTGGGAGGAAGGGGACTGCAATGGATCATGGATAGTAGATGCTCAAAGCATATGACTGGAAATACTATGGATTTTCTCTCACTGAAAGCCCTGCAAGGAAGGGATGTACCCTTTGGAAAATGGAAAGAAGGGGTACATTCTAGGTATGGGGAATAAAACAAGGTAGAAGTTCGTGTCTAAGCTTGTGAGAAGATCTGCTTGAATGCAGTTGATAATGATTCAAAGACATGGCATAAAGGATTGGGGAGGGGGGTACAAGTTTCTCACTTCTGGATATATTTATAAAGAAGGACCTGGTCCATGGTCTATCAAATTCAAAGTTCAAAGAACACGGAGCATGCAATTCCTATGGGAATACTGAGCAGGAGTGAAAAAAAGTGCATGATCAAACCTCTCCTGAACAAAACACCCTATGAGTTGTTCAATGGAAGAAAACCAAAGAAAACTCATCTGAGAACCTTTGGAAGAAAATTCTATGTTCTCAACAACGGGAAGGACCAGCTTGGGAAGTTTGATGCAAAAAGCAATGAAGGAATCCTTCTGGGATAATCCCCTCAAAGCAAAGCCCATAAAGTCTACAACAAAATGTCACACTGTGTGGAAGGAAGTGTTCATGTGCTATTCAACGAGACATCCTCCTCTAAAAAGTAGGAAACAGTGATGATTAAGATAATGAACCACTTTTGGTCCCTAGAAATATCTAGAGTTTCAAATGGGAAGGCTGATTTGATGATTAAGATGAAGGAGACAGGTGAGAGACAATGCAACATCCTGTTCTACTTTTCAAGAGGAACATGGTACTTCCATCATTACCCCTAAAGCAGAAGAAAGAGTTGGAGATGCAGTGCAATGCACTCCCAAGTAACAGAACAAAGAGTGCAGGGAAATCCATTTAACTTACCTAGGTTCTCTACAAATCAAACTTCAGTCCCAAATTAGAAAAACAAAAGCTCCCATTCACTTGATAATATAACCACCCCCTTGATTCTGGAGTTCAAACAAGATCAAAAACCAAAAATTCCCTAGCCTTCTCAGCATTTCTATCCCAAATAGAACCAAAAAAAAATCAAGGAAGCCTTGTAGGATGCAGACTGGATTACTGAAATGCAAGAGGAATTGCATCTACTTGAAAGAAACAAGTTATGGCACCTGGTACCTAGACCCTCAGACAGAACCATCATAGGGACCAGGTGGGTATTCAGGAATGAGCTGGATGAACATAGAAATGCTACAAGGAACAAAGCAAGGCTTGCTGTCCAAGGATTCAATCAAGAGGAAGGGATCGATAGACTTTTGGCCAAGTAGCTCGGATGGAAGCCATTAGGATCCACATTGCCTTTTCTTCACATATGGAATTTACCTTATTCTAAAAAAATGTGAAGAGTGACTTCCTGAATGGTTTTCTCAAAGAAGAAGTCTATATCAAGCTACCTCCAGGCTTTTGAACGTCATGTATATCCTGGACATGTATTCAAATTGGATAAGGCGCTGTACGGATTGAAGCATTCCCCTTGAGCATGGTATGAGAGACTATCCAGTTTCTCATGGAAAATGGCTTCACAAGAGGAAAGATTGACAATACATTGTCTTTGAAGAAACAGGGAAGGAACTCATTGATCAGATTTATGTGGATGACATCATATTTGGAGCTACAACTAACTCATTATGTGAAGAATTTGCTAAACTCAAGGGAAGTGAGTTTGAAATGAGCATGATGGGGGAACTGAATATCTTCCTAGGTCTTCAAGTGAAGCAGTCCATAAAGGGAATATGTATTAGTTAGCAGAAATACATCAAAGAACTCTTGAAAAGGTGTAATATGGAAGCATAGGAATCATTGGATATATACTCTACCTTACTGCCAGCAGACCAGACATTGTATTTAGTATGAGATTATGTGCAAGGTTCCAATCAAATTCTAAGGAATCTCATCTGAAGGCTGCTAACAGAATTCTGATATTTTAAGGGCACACAGAACCTGGTTCTGTCCTATCCTTCAGCTGAAGCAGAATATGTTGCAGTTGCCTCGTGATGTGCTCATTCAATGTGGATCAAGCAACAATTGGAAGATTTTGTTGCACAAAAGATCAACAGATATCTTCACCAAAGCTCTAAGCATGGAACACTTTGAGAAACATGATGGCGCTGGGATTACTTAAACCTAATTGAGAACCTGGTTCTGCTGACATGGCTATGATGGTCACACTAAGGTAAAATTGGCTAAAGTGTTTTCTAACTAGGCCTAACTCACATCTATACCGTTGCAAGTAAACACACATGATGATCATAGAAGCTAAAGGTACAGTGTTGAACTTCGGATGAGAGCTGCAAAAACCCTTTTACAAAAATAGGTCAGGAACCTGGTTCCTGCACCACATATTAGTAGTAATGTGTTTTTTGCATGCTTGTTCAAAAAAAAGGATAGCAAATTAATTCAACTGCCACATCATCCGACTTTTCACACCAACAGTTCTAAACCATTGTCTCCCTTTGCATCTTTTTAATTTTCCTTCAGAACTCTCTACCACTTCTCTCGCCATGGCCAACGAATAATCGTCTTTTTCTCTTGCCATCAACATTACTCCTACATATCCTCATCCCTTAATACCATCACCAGAAACCTATTTCTTCACTATCACTGATACTACTGTACCCAACAGGTTGCCTCCTCATCTCTAGGCACCTCTACTCATCCATCAAACCATGTCTCACTTCCATATGTTGCAAAACCTACTTCTCTTCTGTTCCTAAATCTCAGGGGGAAGAAACTCCATTCTTAGGGAATGAAAGGACTCTGGTGCTTTTTGAGTCTCCGGTTCAGGACACCGTCACAAAAGAACCTGTTGAAGAACCTGATTCTCTTTTAGCTGAAACAAACCAGGTGGTTGTGGAAGAAAGAAGCTTTTGATTCTGCCTTGCAGAGGAGTAAGCAGAGTATTAAAAAAAGAAGAAGAGGTTGATGAAATAGGGGGAAGTTGTGGCTGATAAACACTTTCCAGTGGTTGTGGCTGATAAAGATAATGTGGAGGAACCTAGTTCCTTAGTGAAAAGATCTACAAAAGGTTGTGGCTGAGAAGGATTTGTTTGAGGGTGACATTGTGGCTGTTGCAAGAAGGAATGGGAAGTTTATTGAAATATCTAGAAAATAAAAGTGGGAAATTGTGGGAGAACCTGGTTCAATGAAGACCTTTCTAAGTGACAGTAGCCTTGGACAGGAGATTTAACTCAGAAAAAGTCTTGTGGGGTCGCACACTTGCTCGACAAATCTAGGAGATGGAAAGTATGAGACAAGTTCTGGACTTAGGCAACTAATGGAGAACCTGAGGGAGAAATTGCTTGACTAACAGTTGTTTGCAACTACCCGCATGGACATAGCTCTCAAAACCATTGCTGCCTCCTCTTCCAAGCCTCCCTCTTATAGTGCCCCCTAGGATCCTCTCAGTGGACAGTTATCTTTTGCTCTGATGATTTTATGGTTGTTGTTTTTCTTTTTGTTTGTCTTTTTGTGATGGCATGTTGCATTTCATCGTTGTTGCTCCTGTTGAAACAGACACATTTCTTATCAATAAAATAGCTCTTCTTTTTCTTGTACAATGCTTGTTTTCCCTTTTGCTTCTCTTTTCTATCATGATTGTGTGCACATATGTGGCATGAGTTAGCTTTATTGGACTTCTTTATGTCTCTTTGTCTGACTGTGTCTTTTTGTTGATGCCAAAATGGGGAAAAATAGAGTCAGGGGGAACATATGACATATGTCGGGGGGAAGAATAGAGTCAAGGGGAACATATGCAGTAGCATGTACCTTATCCAGTTAAATCAAATAGTCATCAATGTTAAAAGTTTGTCATCATCAAAAAGGGGAAAATTGATGGGCTTAAGGTCTTTTAATCTATGTTTTGATGATCTATCAAACTTTTTGTCTGGAACCAGATAAAAGACCAAGAATGATAGTAAAAAGTCAGGGGAACATATGGGGAAACATGTGTAAGTAAGGGCATAAAGTCAGGGGGAACTTGTCGTCTCCTGTTATTCAATCTAATTCTCTGAACTCAAACGCCTCATTTTCAATGCTAAGTTTGTCATCATCAAAAAGGGAAAATTGATTGGTTTTCAATATCTTTGCCTTGTGTTTTGATGATCTAACAAATTTAATGTCAAGAAATAGATAGGGAGCCTGACTCACTTGGATTACACTGCATCTAACGAATTCCAGCCAAATATGAACTTGCTATAGCTTCAGGAGGTAGGAACCCAGACAAGGACCTGATACTCTTGTGGGTTCCTCATGGCAGTACAAAGTCAATTGGACACAGCGGGTTCCTCACGGCAGTACAAAGTCAATTGGATACAACTGGAAACGATGATTCTGCCGCACTGCACTGTTTCCAGCGCCCACTTATTCTCTGATCAACTAAAGTACAATGATTCAAGTTACTCAAATCAAGACAATCTGTGCAGTGTGCACAAGTACCAGATCAGGAACTTGATCCCTTGGTGCTCCCCTGACAGAAGTACAAGTCAACTATACAGCTGGATCGCAACTGCAGAAAGTGACTGTCCGCAACTGTACAAAGAGGAACACAACAGGGACCTGATCCCTTAGGGTTCTCTGATAGAAGTACAAGTCAACTATACAGCTAGAACACAACTGAGTGACTGTCCATAACTGTACAAAGAGGAACACAACAGGGACCTGGTCCCTTAGGGTTCTCTAACAGAAGTACAAAGTCAACTACTGCTGGAAATCAACTGCAGAAAGTGACTGCTTGCAACAATACAATAGATATAGCAACAGACAGTGAACAGTCAGTTTCCATTGAGATTGGACATCACCATTGTGAATTGATATCACTAAGATAATGTCTTGTGTAGTATAAACCTCATGCAAGGCACAAGATTCTGGTTTAACACTTGCAAATACAAAAACGAAAATTCTTTCAAGTGCTCAAGAACCTCTCTCAAGAACAAAACTCCTTCAACCTCAAGGACCTGATCCAAGATCGAAGACATCTTAAGTCCTTAGGTTGTTGAGTCTTTGTTATGTGTTCTTCATTGTAATTCCTAGTTAGCTTTCTTAGAAGCGTTGTCTTAGGAACAAACCAAAATTCGTAAGCTTTTGAGTTTATGTTGTGACTAGGGATAGTCATAAGCAAAAACCTTTGTAACCGTAGTGTGACAAAGTGGCTTGTGGTGGAAACATCACAAGTTAGTCAAAGCCTTTGTAACCGTAGTGTGACAAAGTGGCTTGTGGTGGAAATACCACAAGTTTGTCAAATTCTTTGTACCTAGGATAATTATAGAGTGGCTTGTGATGAGAGCATCACAAGTTAGTTGAAGTCTTTGCAATAGAATTATTGTAAAGTGACTTGTAATAGGGAGATTGCAAGTTAGTGAAGTTAAAAGCCTACAGGTGTAGGTCGTGATTTTTTGATCTCTTGTGTGAGATTTTTCCACTTAAAAATCATCGGCCTTATTTACATACAACTTTACTAGCATTCACAGCAGAACCCCACAAAGGACCAGGTACTCTGCTATTTGGTGGGTTCAGACAAACTTATCACTGTACAAAACTGATAAAGGACCAGATCCCTATACAGTTTGGTTCATCAGTATTTTCAGAGGAAATACATAGAGAACCCGGTTCTCTATACAGTCTGGTGGACGCACAGTCTCTAACAGTTTCCTTATCATAGTAGCTGAATCGAAAGTGACAATGAAAATAAGAAGAGAAATAAGATTTGGGTCAGATTGATGTTATCACTTTCTGTATGTTTTTTGTATTCAATTTCAATTTGTGTCACTATTTCGGCATCCGATTTATGTAATTTATGGTTTTTTAATTCTATTATTGCCTCTTTTTGTTAATCTTTTCCTTCTCTGTCATCTTTAATTTTGTGGAAAGCTGGATGGAATACGAGCTTGTTGGAAGCTATTAGCATATGCCGATCTGAGAACTTTAGAAACGTATTTGTTGCCTGAGGTGATAAAAACATTTTATTTGACCTTCAACAATATTGAAAAAAAAAAAATCTCCAAAAGTGAATTATAGTAATAGAAATAGGATTTGATAGTATTTATATCCGATGGTAGCACACACACATTCTCCAGCTTTGAGGCTCATTAAGTTCACTTTGTTTGCTTTCATCCTGACAGTTGAAAGGCGTACTCTTTTTTTTTTTTTTTTTTTTTTTTTTTTTTTTTTTTTTTTTTTTTTTTTATTTTTTATTTTTTATCTTCTTAAAGTTTATCTACGCTCTTGAATCTTGATGTTCTGGGAAGTACCAAAATAAGAATAAACAAAAGAATATTTTTTGTTGCTGACATAATATAAATTGGTGGTGGATGTCTTGCTGATTTGGTTGACTGTGATGTTAGTTAATCTGTACGTTAACCATCCTATTTAGATTAAAAAAATGTTCTTCTTCATTCTGAAGTAAATAGATTTAATAAGTTGGATATGGTTTATGGAAGGAACTGTATATTGTTGTAATTTCTTTTGTTTGCAGGTCAACCATAACCAGATGCAGAAGATGAGACACTACTCCCAAAAGTGAAGGTGGGAAGTAAATCTATCAGAGAAAGAGAACATATAAAGGAACTCAGAAAGAAGTGATGTCATGCTGCAGGTTTAAACTGCTTCTCTTCTTGTAGTTAGAGATACTACTACTACTTCCAACAACATCCAGATATATTTAAAAAGTATTATTAGGCAGAGTCGAGTCATATAATTTCTGTATCGATTTGATTTTTTTTCCTAAGTGTTGCTTCATTTTAGATAAACAGGCAGCATATAAAAGGATTTACGAGGTCATACATTCCCCATGGATCCAATTTAAACCATCTTGGATATGATATCTGTCAAGATGTCCTAGCATTTGCAGAGGCTGGAATTTGAGGCTTGCGCTAAGTGATGATACATTTGACAAATGTATTTGCTGGTGGTGTGGATCATCTGTACAGGGTAGAGTGGCTTTTATGAGAAATCACGCCGAATGGCATAACTGATTCCGCTGGAAAACCGCTCAAAGAAAGCACTGGTGGTTGAATGCGGATGACCCTTTCAGTACCTGGTTGTGCATATGTCGTAGTGAAGCTTTATAAGCTCATCCCCAAAGATAGAACTTATTCCTGTGCACCAAGTAAGTTTCACCATTACTTGAGTCTTACTTATTTAAATTTTCTGGTGATGCTCGACACACATTGACATTGTAGTTATGCATTCATTTAGTCATTAATTCAATTCGAGTTATGAAAAGATATGTCAGAAAGATTGGACGGTAACACATGGTGCTATGTGTAAGCTGCTCATTATTTGATTCTTATTCAATTTGTTTTTGGTGCAGCAAGCATGTACTACAACTTTAACTCAGTGTCTGACGTTCTTGAGATAATGCAGGTATGTGAAATTTTTGTGCTCGTACTTTTTTCTTCCTAGCATTAGAGAGAAAATGAATAACATAGTTGATATACTACACGCAGATGAATATTGTATCTTATCGTGCATATTCCCATTTTCTTATCCAAATCTAATAAATACAACAGTTTCAAACCCACTTTCACAATTGCATGTAGTTGTTGCACATTTTAGTTTAGTTTAGTTTAGTTCATACCGCAACAATGTTGATATCATGAATCAGAATAACGTTTTTGTGATAACGAGAGTCGGAATAGTGTCCGTAGCAGCTGCTTCTCTAAATATCTTACTGTCACAATCCTAAAATCGACCCGATCGTGATGGCGCATATCATAAAACTAGGTCAGCCGACACAATTCCCAAATTAACCATTAATCAATAAGAATCATTTTTTAAGGCTTTAATTAAACAAATATTTTATATTATAAGCCTAAATAAACAGTGCGGAAATAATCTACAAGCCCGACATCGGGGTGTCACAAGTCACGAGCATCTACTAAGGTCTAAATACCACGAAAAGTCTGAAAGTGTACTAAATACAGTCTAATGAAAACAAGAGGGAGAAAAGCTGTGCTGCGAACGCCGAACAACTACCTTGCTAAACTCTGATGACTCTGCCTCTGACCCGCTACCGGGTTCAGAAATACCTGAATATGCACACAAGGTGCAGGGTGTAATGTGAGTACTCTAACTGAGTAAGTAATAAAGGTAAATGAAAGCTGAGCAGTAAGAAAATACGTAAACCACGTCACAACGCTACAACAAAGGCAAGATATTTCCAACACAGTACAGAAATCATTTGTGAGCACGTGATTTTTAACCTATGAGAACTACTTCCAAAAATTCAAAATAAAATGGTTTTGTGTTGTTTGTGATTTATTTGTATTTTGTCTGTGCATGTTTATTTCTACTCTAATTAAGAAAAATACAAAAATATGTGTTGCATGTGCATTTAGGATTTAATTTTACAATTTAGGAAATAATTAAACAAACAAGTTTGTTTTACAAAATGGAAAAATCACAAAAAAATATGTACTTTGCATTCTTATATTTAATGTCCGAATTATGTGATTTTATCTTTATTTGATGTTTAATTTCGTGTGATAGCTATTATTAAGAGTTAATGTTTTAGTTAATTGTCAATTTTATAATTTAATTAGGATTTTTAGTTGAAAAGGAATTAAAAGAAAATGAAAGAAAAAGAAGAAAAGAGTGAAAATTGGGCCAATTTCAGTGCAAAAAACAAATCAGGCCCAAATCACCCATGAACCAGGTCCAGTTTGGCCTGGCCAGAAACGTCTTAAAACAACGTCGTTTGGTCACTCTTAATCAAGGCCGTTGGATTAAATCGATCCAACGGCTGAGATTCAATCTCTCTTACCCATTCCCTGGCCCGACCCATTCCCTGGTTCAAACCGCCCCAGTACTACTCAAAACGACGCCGTGCCTATTAAGTGAATTGATCCAGGCCGCTGATCGTGCTTGATCCAACGGCCAGGATTAAAACACCCCCTCCGTATATAACCCTAATCCCTTACCCCACGCCCCAAAGCCATACCCCCCCTCACCTCTTCGTCTCTGAGCTTCAGAGACCAAACAAATCCCCCGCCTCTTGCCACCGTGCACCGCCCACCGAAAATCGCCTCACAGCGGTTCCGGTGGTCCAAACGACCCCATCTTTTCACCACTGATACCCCTCGACCTCCCCATTCCGAATCCCTAACTCTTATCTCTCGAATCCCAGCCATGTGCTTCGAATATTAGATCGAAAATCAGGCCGGAACCCTATCTCGTCCAATAGCCTCCAATTTCACACCACAACTTCCCCAAGACTTCCTCGTTATAGTCCCACGCTCAGTTTTCTTCGAATCACCCCCGAGCTCCTCGAATCTTAGATCGAAGGAATCGACCTAAACCCTAATCCGTTCAAATACCACCAAACTCACACCCTGCCACCCCCTGACCTCCCTCGTTCCCAAACCACCCTTAGTTTGCGTCGAATCACCACAGAAAGTCTCGAATCAAAAGTCTTAGAGTGGTGATCTGAAGCTAGTTCAGAGACTGAGGTCAAAATGGACCTTAGTTGAATGTGTTCTCATTCAGGAACACTCGACTAGGGTCCTCTTGTCCCCAAGTCCAAAAGGCATCGGAGGTTCGAACCCAGGCCCCGTTTAATTGGTAGGTTTTCGTTTTATCTTCTTTCTTTGTTCATTAAATTCATCCTTTACTCCTTTCTTATTTTTTTTGTCTAAATTCGAATGTTTTGTGCTTACTCTGTATTTTGTTTC